GCCCGGACCAAGCCGGGGAGCCGGACACCGACACGGACAGCGGCTACGGCGGCGAGTGCGAGGGGAAGAAGACCCCGCAGGCTGCCTTGAGGGTCAAGCGGGAGCCCGCGGGCGACGGGGTGGGGGGGGACCCCGAGGGGTCCAAAAGACGCAGGCTGGAGAACGCCGGCAGCCCCTCGGCTGGCCCGGGGCAGGGGGCTGGGGTCTCAGAGACCAGGCCGGCTCTTTTCAACCCCCGGATGGCTTTGGGCGTGGGGAGCGGCATTGAGGGGGCTCTCTTGGCCCAAGCCGCCCCCACCGCGCCCTTCTGCTTGCCTTTCTACTTCATCGCCCCGTCCGCTGCCTACCTGCAACCTTTCCTGGAGAAGGTCGGCTGGGAGGCATCGCTTTACCCCGCCGGGGCCGCTGCGGGACCCTTCCCCTTATTCTACCCAGGGATTTCCATCCAGGGGGCCGCCCCCGCGGCTTTGCCTTCCCTTGCCGCGGCCGAGAAAGGGAGCCCGCTTTCAGGGGCAGCCCCCCCACCCCCTCGCTTTCCCGGGCAGGGAGACCCCTCTGCTCAGACCCCTCCCCGGCTTCTCCCCCCCTCCGCAAGCCGGCCGGGCTAAAGGCAGACACGGATCCTCGCCCAAAGCTTGAGCTGCAGCAGCCCGGCTGGGGGAAACCTTCGCAAAGGGGGCCCTCTTCGGGCCAGCATTTAATCCCCCAGGAAATTGGAGGGGGGGGCATTCCCAGAATCGGGGGAAAAGATCGAAATTGGCCATTGATTGTCTGTTTAAAGAGAGAAAGAGGGAGGGAGGGAGGGAGGGAGATCCCATTTCTTCCTCCTGGTTTTCTGAGGTCCTTTGGGAAACACATGTCTGAAGTGGTGCAGGGGTTTCCTTTCCTTTCCTTCCTTCCCTTTCTCCTTCCTTCCTTCCTTCCCTTTCTTTTCCTTTCCTTTTTCCTTCCTTCCTTTCCTTTTTCTTTCCTTCCTTCCTTTCTCCTCCCTTCCTTCTTCCTTTCCTTTTCCTCCCTTCCTTCTCCATCACTGGAGACTTTTAAGAAGAAACTGAACAGCCATTTCTCTGAAATGGTATAGGGCAAGGGTCTCCAACCTTAGCAACTTTAAGACTTGTGGATTTCACAAAGCAAAGCTAGCTGAGAAGATCTGGGAGTTGAAGTCCACAAGTCTTAAAGCTGCCAAGGTTGGGGACCCCTAGTAGAGGGTTTCCTGCCAGGCAGGGGGTTGGACTAGAAGACCTCCAGGGTCCCTTCCAACTCTTGTTATTCTATTATTCTGAATCACATCCCTTTGGAAAGGGGTGAAAAAGAAAGAGAAAGAAAGAAAAAGAAAGGAAGGAAGGAAGGAAGGAAGGAAGGAAGGAAGGAAGGAAGGAAGGAAGGAAGGAAGGAAGGAGAGGGAGAAAGAAAGAAAGAAAGAAGCAAGCTTATTTGGAACAACCCTGACCTATATGAATGAGAATCTCCATAGACATGAAATGGTGCCTGTGAATGACCTTGGGATATGAAGCAAAGGGATTCTGCCTAGACTGATCAGATAAGAGACCACAGAGACCACAGCTACACAAGGGCCAGGGAAAGAGAATCCGCAGGGAGCCTTTCTAGTTTCTCAGGCTGCAAAGGAGATTATGGGAGATTTGTACTTTCAGATCTGCTCAATTTTGTTAAAGTAGCCTCACAATAAGGTAAAATTAGTTCATCGGGTTGTGTTTCCTGTGTGGTCTCCCTGATAAGGCTGACAGGAACCGACATTCTCTCGGATGCAAATTGTCGATTCGAGGCTTCAGCAAAATTTCTTGCACAGGGTTATAAGGCACTCTGACAACAAGCGAGCGTGAGCAGATTTGCACGTCGGTGGAGAACAGGAAGAGAAGGGAGGAACTAATAATTAGGCAAAACCATTGTGCACTAGCAACTTTATTGAGGTGTGGGCCATACGTTGTTCAAACCTGCTTCTGGGTTTTTTTTGGCAGACCTAGAGTGCAAGGTCAAAAAAGTCAAGATGGCGCCTGCAGTCATGGAAGCCAATCCCTCTTCCACCCCAGCCTTTCCCTGCCTTGCCATTACAGATTCAAGCGATGTACGAATTGTGTGTGCGCGGGCGAGTGCTTGCACTACATACACACTAACACAATTGCTTTGGTCCCCTTTCTGTCACTTGGGAGACACTCTTGATTTCAAATTCCCTTGATTTATGAGGCAGGGTTATAATTTACAAAAAAAACAACAACCAGCCACCATCACCTGGCACACCTCCCATTAAAAGTGAATCTTATGAATGTTTACAGAAATAAATCTTAGCATCCTCAGTGGGAGGTTTACCACCAGGGAAGCATACTGAGGATGTAGGCTGCATCTAACTTTTTGTATGTTTGCAAATTGTAGTGATTTGTCAACTGTTCCCTTTCACTGATAAGGTTACCTAGTTGGGTAATGAAAGGTCTGGAAGGAAACCACTAAGCTCAAGAGAGCACCAAAGACCCCCATAGTCCTCCTCTCCCTTTTAGCACTGATGACATTACCTAGTTGGGTCATGAAACGTCTGCCAAGAAAACCACCCAGCTCAGAGAGCACCAAGGACCCCACAGTCATCTTCCTCCTCCTCTTCTTCCTCCTCCCTGCACACACCCCTCACTTCTAGCACTGATGATGTTACCTAGTTGGGCCATGAAACGTCTGCCCAGAAAACTACCAAGCTCAGAGAGCACCAGGGACCCCAGAGCTCAACCCTGAGCAACAAATGCTCTCTTCCACTTTTCTTAAAATCCTCCAGTGATGGAGCACCCATAATGTCTGGTAGCAAGCCGTCCCACTGGTTAATTGACCTCCCTGTTCGGAAGTTTCTCCTTCATTCCAGGTTGCTTCTCTCCTTGGTTAGTTTCCATCCCTTGTTTCTTGCCTTGCCTTCTGGTGCTTTGGAAAATAAGTTGACCCCCTCTTCTTTGGGGCAGCCTCTCAAATACTGGCATCCTGTCATCGTGTCCCCCCTGGTCCTTTTGTCTAGACTGGCCAAACCCAAATCCTGCAACCCTTCTTCACGTTTTTATCTCCAAGCCTTCAATCAGTCTTGACATCTTTTTTCTTTTGGTAATGTGGGGACTAAAACTTGGTTGCTCTATTCCAGATGTGGTCGATAGAGTTTGATTTTCTATTTACCTAGAGTGTACGGGAATTTGGCCAATGTAGGGGAGGTCGCCGACAAGGGACGTTTTACTGCAATTAACCAACAGGTTTGCAAAAAGGCGATTCAAGGTGAAATCTTTCGGTTTCCAAAAATCCCGCGTTCCCCTTCGGTTGAGAGATGTTGACAGACGCCGTCATGCAACGAGAGCTTTCTTAACCGGGCTTAAGCCAAAAACCTCATCTCTGGTATTTTTAGGCTGTTATCAAGGTAGAGAAATCTCACTTGAGTGTTATGTAAGAGGTGAGCTATGGCCTTGTCTGAGGATGAGTGAGTAAACTGAAGACAAATGAGTAATTTCGGGATGGTTTGTTGTTCGCCTCACACTGCGTCAAGCCAAGTTGTCTCCTTCCCTCCTTCTCTTTGGCTTATTATTAAGATAGTTGTTCAAGACATCCGAGGAATGATTCTCCCACCATGCTATTTTTGTAGAAGATACGTGCTATTTTGAGTTTAAAAAAAATATTTCCTTGGAAGAGGAATAGCAGCAGCAGAAGAGTTGCACTGCTCGATACAAGCTTACGCTGTCTTAAATTATTATTTTTTTAAAAAAATGCTGCTTTGGCAGAAAGGGAGAGAAGAAAAAGGCTGTCTAAAAAAAATCAGAATGTGAGGATAGGATATTAATCTTTTTATTGAGTATTTTCAGCTGATCGTGACTTCGGATGTCAAAGATATTTCCAGAATATTTTGTGATTTCAAGAAAGAGATCTTACTGAATAATAATAAAAGATCCTTTAATATACGGTGTGGCTGGTCCAGTTATTAAAGTTCTTTAGCTAACTATGGATTTGTTCTCCTTAAGTTATCACTGTCTTTCCACGAGATCATCGAAGAAGGGCAAGGTATAAAACTCAGGCCTTTGTGCATTTTAGCACCTTTTTAAAAATACAAACTGGGTCTCAAAACATCTCACTGGTTGCACAAAGAACCTTTTTGGAGCATGGATGTGCTCCAAAGCTTTCAGTAATGGCCTATCTTGGAAACTGGTGTACTGCATTTTGTAACGATTCTAGTGTCCTCACCTAGGCTCCCCCAAAAGCACGAAGCCGACTCCTTGTCCTGATAAAACCCCTTTTATTTAATTTGCAGTGAATTCCTCTCCAACAAAGTCCCGGCCAATGGTCTTTCATGAGATTTCACAACGACAGACCTTTATCAGGCTTGGAGAGCTGCCAGGCCGATATCTTCCAAACACCATGCTGTAGCAGACAATACTTGGCAAGAAGTCAGGAACAGATCTTCACCCTAAGAGTTTTCATCTATTTTCTCCAGCACGCAAAAAAATATGAAATTAGGTAATCAGCGTCAACATCATCCAAGTGAATGAGCTCTAATGAAGATTTTGTAAAGGGTAGGTTCCTGCTTGGGCAGGGGGTTGGACTAGAAGATCTCCAAGGTCCCTTCCAAACTCTGTTATCTGTTACAGGTAGCCCTCGACTTATAACAGCTCATTTATGGATTGTTCGAAGTGACAACAACAGCACCGAAGAGTGACTTAGGTGTTCTGACCTAGACCTTCCCAAGATCATGAACCTGACTCCTTGTCCTGATAAAATCCCTTTCATTTAGGTTATAAAGGGAATTCCTCTCCAGCAAAGTCCTGGCAAACAGTCTTTTAAGAGGTTTCACAATGACAGACCTTTATCAGGCTTGGAGAGTTGCCAGGCTGATAGCTTCCAAACGCCATCCTGTAGCAGCAGTTACTTGGCAAGCAGTCAGGAACAGATCTTCACCCGAATGAATTAAACTAATTGTCTCCTGCAAACACCACTCCCCTTCCACTCCTCCTTTATTCCCTATGGGAGGGGCCATTCACCGTCCACCTGTGCCTTTACTCCTGAGTTGACCCTTGTTCCTTAACAGTTCCCTTCTCCTGGCAGCTCTGCGCATGCGCACACTGGGAACAGGCTCCAGCTGTTCTTCTTCCCCACTTATCTCCGACTCCAAAGGCAGCTGATTAACTGTCAGATGGCCCTGGCCCCATCTCTGCCTCTGACACAGAGCCCTCGTCTGAGTCTTCCCCACACTCCAGGACTGGCCCATGTCCCTCCCCAACCTCCTCACCATCCAAATCTGCCGCCAGCTCCACTGGCTGCTGGCCGGCCACAACATATAGGACTCAGTGCTCTTCAAAACCAGCCCAACGTAACACGCAATGCACTAGTGTAAAGTCCTTGACTTATAACCACCAGAATTTCCATTGCTATAAGAAATCTGATTGTTAAGCGAGTCGCCCCAAACATGACCTTTTTATTTTTGCTCCCGTTTAATGAATCACTTACTGTCGTTAAGCGGATCCCACATGGTGATTTTGCTCGTCGGAAACCCGGTTTGAAAACCTCGTTAAATAATGAGGTTGTTGGATCCGTTGGCTCTTTTATTGGCAATGGAAATTTTATTCAAAAAATAGTAAAGCAGCAAAAATACCGAGCGAATAAATAAATAAAACAGAATTGTTTTGTCATCTCCATACAAGCGATGGCCTTCATCCAAAACATGAAAATACTGTAACAAATAGAATAAATGTGCATGAAGTAATGCCTTAAAAAAAAAAAAAACCAGCTGGAATACAAAAGTAATACTTTTGTGATATATCTATATCTTTATCTCTATCTATTATCTATCTGTCTGGATATATATAGATATATAAATATATCACATATTCGATAATGTATTTAATAAAATACAGCACAGAGCTATTCGATAATGGAAAATAAATCAGAATACAGGTTTGTTATGTACAATGACAATTAAGGCCTAATTCACATTATATAAAGCACGTTAGGAATTTTGTTCAACTCGGAGAGTCTACAAAAGGAATTTAAAGAAGGAAACTCTCTGGATGACTCCATCAAGGTGCAGTGTTGTGCCAGCGAGTAAACCTAACCAAATCTTCTCACCTATGGAGAAAACATAAATCTTGCTCAAAGGCTAACCCATCTGATAGACGTGCTGCTGAGCTACACATAGTTCACCATTTTCTAAAGTCTAGAAAACACAAAAGACTGGCCTTCATCATGGACTGATAGACTTCAGATGGTCTTATCTCCATCCCTAAGGGCAGGAGTGCCCAACTTGGCATGGCTGGCTGAGGAATTCTGGGAGTTGAAGTCCACAGGTCTTAAAGTGGCCAAGGCTGGACCTTAGATTAAGGATCTATAACTATCACCCTAGACTTGTCGAAATTCTTCTCCTTTAAAAGCAAAATAGAATGAAAGGTGTTTTTTGTTGGCATTTGTCCTTTGTTTCTATTCTCATTAAAGATGACGTGAACGATGGAGAAGCAATAAAAAAATGTGAAGTCCTCTATTCTCCTGCCTAAGCAGGGGGTTGGACTAGAAGACCTCCAAGGTCCCTTCCAACTCTGTTATTCTATTCTACTCCCCACTGGGCTCATCATACCTGCACAATTCATTTTCTTGCATATCTTTTGAAAGTGGATAGCTTATCAAATGCAATGTCGGACTGCAGACTTCATAATATTTGAGTGGGAAGAATTGGGATTCATAGGAAAATTAGAAGGAGGGGAGGGAATGAGGTAGGATGATTTAGGCTGTACCCTAAGAAGAAAATTGATAACTCTATAAAGCACGGTTTTCCATTATTGGAACCCTTTTAATTACATCTCTTTGAGGACTTTTTAATTTCCAAGGACTAAACAGTGCAAATAATCCAATCCACACCATTTAGAACTTCGTAATGTAATTTAAGACAATTCTGTTACCAGCTAAACTAAACTTACTTACTGAAGACTTTGGAAGGAAATATTCAAATGTTGGCAGATGGTTAATTTCAAAGCAAACAACAGATTTTTACAGACACGGTTTGGAGAAGCATTGTAGGAGGCTAAGTTAAGTATCAGTGCAACTCAACTTTTGCCATGAGTCCTTTAGCTCGTGGTTTGTACTTTGCACCAGATGAAATAACTATTTGAATGAATGCAAAGTTAACTTTGGTTGCATTTCAAAATCCCTGCTCCCAAAGGAACACACCAAGGATCATTTTTGGGTGGATCAAATCTTGGCTGAAGGACCCATTCACACCATCTCCATCTTAGTTAGCACTTTCCAGAAACGTGGAGCAACGGTTGGCTGACTGTTAAGTTCTGGAAATTGAAACCTTATACATCTGGTAAACATTGAAGCCTGCACATCTGGAGAAAGCTATTACAGAGGTTCTAGGTTGCACTAGATGATGTGCAGGCAGTTAAATATAGCAAAATGCACTACTATGCTTTTGCGATTGGATATTGTCGAAGAAAATTCATTTGCCAAACCAGTTGTCCTTTGAATTTATGTACATCAACAATTTTTTGTTTCATGATGTCAAATCCTGTTTTTGTTACAATTCTAGGCAAGGAGAGATTAAATTTCTCCAACGGATATCTGATCAGCAAAATCCAGAATACCAAGGGAAGGAAGGAGAAGTATTTACAAAGAGTTTTATATTTTAATGGGGAGAATCCAAGCTTCTCCTTTGTTGAAACAAATCTTTTGACAAAGTTGTACGGTGTGTACGTAACACACTACTAGTTTCGGCTGGATTTGGGCACTGCATAAGATGTGTGTGTTTTGAATTCTTTGTCTGTTTTCTCCTTCTTGGGAGAACGGGGGATTCTCTTAAAATTGGAGTTACCTTGTTTTTCAGGTAAATGTGTTATCACTTCAAAGAAAACAAGATCATTTCGTTCATCACCCTATTCTCAGAAAAAGGAATACAACTAATAAGGCCTGAATTCTGATTTTACAGTGTTATCAAAATGAACATCAGTTTCCAAATAATTCTGAGACATTTCCATAATATCCAGAAACGCAGAAACATCCTGAAATGCTCAAAATATATTCCTGTGTTCTGCTTGACATAATACTTCAAACGCTCAGAAATCTAACTGCTAAAATAACATGAACTTGTGACATATGTGCTTATTATTCCTATCGTTCTGGGACATGCATTCTTCTTCTGAAAAACAAAAATCCCTATTCTATTATTTTGGGTAGTAATTGGGTGACGAGCTACATTAGAAATAAATGTGCTTTTATTTAAATAAATGACCATTTCTTCAGGAACCTTTTTTGTATCATCACATTCGGGGCTGAAATAATTTTGCAAACAGTTATAGAAATATATATGCATCTATCTATCTATCATCTATCTATCTATCTATCTATCTATCTATCTATTATATATGTCTTCTTTCTATAGGCAAGGCATCAGGGTGGAGCTGTCCAGCTATTTCATATTTCACGGCCTGAGCATTTCTCATCCATTTTATGTACACCTGAAACCAATCTGATGGAAAAAAAATCTGGTTTTGCAAAAAAAGAGAAAAAAAGTTGTTATGCAGCTGTCCAACTACCATACATGGGTGTTTCTGGCTTAATAAATTGTAAGTGGCACAAATCCACATTATAATGGAGGATTGTGTCTTTCCTGGCTATAATACAAGAACACTGTAGTGGTAAAAATAATAATAAAAATTATAAAAATAAACGGTGAGAAATTCCTTTGGCAAGACATTGGACTAAAGAGAAAGCATTTTGTTCCTTGATAGGCATATTCATTATGGCAAAATATGTCAAATATAAACTTCAGTATCATCATAAAACACTATTTAACTAGAAGATCTTCAAATGCTAAGTGTAATCCTTAACAAAGTGGAGTTTCGGGCCTGAGGATCTTTTAAGTGGGGAAAAAATCCATTGGCTATTAAAAAAGGGAGGGGAAAAATATCCCACAATGGCTGTAACACAACAAACACCCACCACAACATAAACTCTTTTTTTCTTTTAAGCTTCAGTCCATTTGGACATTGTGACTCTTTGTGCAGTGACAAAACACATCATTTTTATCATTGTACACATTCATTTGTATCTGTGCAGATTCTTTCTTTCTTTCTTTCTCTCTCTCTCACACACCTACATACGTACACAAACACACGTTTCACGCTGCAGGCATGGCATCATCCTGGGCAAAAACCCAAGTTCTACCTGACCTAAAATTGGGACTTTCTCCAGCTTTTTGTCCTTCAATTCTCTTTCGAAAGGCAAGTGGCCAATCCCTAGCATGGCCAATTATGAAACATACTAAAGCTTGCAACCTAGTAGTAGTTGGGAGGATTGTGTATGTTTGCCTTCTTTTCTTTAATATTTAGGATCCCTCACCCCGAGTTGCAGCTTCATCACCACAGCTCCAACAAGCAACAGGTTGGGGAAGATCTACCAAGCTCTTATCAACACATGGTGTAAATGATGCTACAGAGATGTGAAGAAGGACAGAGGGAAAACTTAATTCAAAATGGCGTCTTAGAGATAGCAGCAGCCATGGATGGGGGAGTAATACAGGCCTACTCTAAGGCACGACCTGCAACTAGAAACGATATGCCCGCATTCATACACCATAGATTAATCCCTAAATAATCCAACTGCGTAGAGCAGAGTTGGGGAAACGATGGCCCTTCGATCACTTCTGGACTTCAACTCCCAGAATTCCCGAGGCAGCCATGGGGGACTTCCAAACTCCCAGGATTCCTAAGTCAATGATGTTGGCTCAGGAATTCTGGGAGTTGAAGTACACATGTCAACCAAAGGGCCATCATTCCCTACCCCAGCAAAGAGAGTGAGCATTTTGGGAGGGTGAGAGGGGTGTGTGTGTGTCTCAGATCAGCCACGGATGCCTGCTAAGAAATATTTATGCTTCAGAAATAGCAATAATACTAATATTTAAAATAAAAGAAAATGAAGGAAGCTATTTTGACATGGCTGTTCAGGGAGGAATGGCTGCCACCATTGTGTTTTGGTCCTCGCCGTAAAATCGGCGCCTGGCATGAGATTAAAAAAGAGGCCATGAAATGCCCCCGGTTTGATAAGTTTTCAAATGCCAGATTTGATCATCATCTTCTTCTTCTTCTTCCTCCATAGGTCACGGTGAGAAGAAACCTAGCAGGAGGAAATGGGTTGCGGTCCTCGGTTACCTCCATATGTCCTCCCCAGAGGGACATTGGGCCGTTATACGTAAATGCCCTCCGGGTTAAATCCAGAGGACAGCGGGTTCTGCAAGATCCGAAGGTTGCTGGGAAGCTGCCGTGAGGAACTCGGGCGTTTGAGGGAGCTGGTTTGAAAGGCGGGTTCTGCGGGAGGAGAAACGAGGTTAGTTATGACGTCTTCGAAGGGGGCTCAAGCCTTAAACAGGTTCTGCCTAAAGAGGGAAAGGTGAATTGACAGAAGGCTGAGTCTGGGCAGAGATCGAACTTCTGGCAGTTGGCAGAATTAGCCTGCGATGCTGCATCCTAATCACTTGTGCCAGGATGGATGGATGGATGGATGGATGGATGGATGGATGGATGGATGGAAGGAAGGAAGGAAGGAAGGAAGGAAGGAAGGAAGGAAGGAAGGAAGGAAGGAAGGAAGGAAGGCTGAGTTAAGCTTGAGCCGGTCAGGATTGAACTCCTGACAGTGGGCAGAGTCAGCCTATAATACTGCATTCTAATCACTGTGCCACCATGGCCCGCCTTTCCTTTCCTTTCCTTTCCTTTCCTTTCCTTTCCTTTCCTTTCC